CGGCCCGAACCAGATTGCGCGACACAGAGAACAATGATAGCGACAGCAAGGCTGGCGTATCAATTCACAGAAGCAGCCGTTCCAGTAGTGCAAACAGCTAGGGCAATGCACGCCCCGGCCACCTTGTATAATTTGTTTTGCGCAAGGCTGCGAACGGCACATCGCCGGGCTGATCGCGAAGAGCTCCACCTCGCCACCATGGTTGTCCTATGCCAGTCCAAATGACAACTGGTCTCATGCCTCCGCGGGGAAGGAGACCAGTTCCTGGCCAATTGCGCCGACGACATCAACGAGGCGATCGAGAATAGGGGCGCCAGGATGGAATGGAACGGCGTCGAGGAATTATTGCGTTCCGGAGGGCGGCCGCCATGGGGTATCGCAGAGCTCCGATGCTTTATCGACGCCAGCGGAGAGCCAATGACAAGGGAAGAGACACGTGCAGAGACTGAGCTCGACCACTTCGACATCGCCGACCACGCGATCCTGCGCGCGCTGGACGACATCGCGGACGCCTTCAACAGGAACGCCAAGGAAACGGTGCGCAATCGCACCCAGACCGACACCCATCGCAAGCATCATCGCTAACAACGACCTACACACCGGCTTCCACAACGCCAGACAGAACAGAAAAGGCGGCCCGACAACACTGCAGACGACATTCGCTGGGCGGCGTTGGCCTGTCAACCGCATCCGACAGCGGTTCGCTCCTCCAGCTCATGTCGACACGATGCAGACCTTCCCGTACAGCTACGCTTGGTTCGTCGTTCCGGCCGACGCCACGGATGTGGCCGAGCTGAGGGATGCTATCGTCGCCAGCAGCGAGGTGGTTGTCATTTTCAACACGCTCCTCCTTTCTCTCAAGGTCTGGATTTTCCTGGGCATTGCTTCCTCGCCGCTGCGCAACCCGCTAGACGTTCAGTGCTTCGCTGTCTCGGTATGTACCACAATGCTCCTGTACGCGGCTGGTGCCGCGGACCCCTCAATTCCCATTCTGTGCGCGCCTGCCTTGAATGCGAGCACGTGCGCCATTATCAAGGAAACGCTCGAGGTCTTTTGGCTCGCGCGTCGCTTCCCTGGGTGGGCCTCGTAGTCTTTCCCCCGTGGGCCTCACGCAGCGCACCGTTCGCGCCCGCGCCCCTGCGGCGCCAGAGCACGGCAGCTTGCTGCTGCGGGAGGGCGCGCTCTCGGATGCTTTCCGCTGCCTCCCATGCTGTGCGTTCGCGGCCTGCCTCGCCAGCCAGCTGGGGACCCTCCTTCCCGCCGTGCGCGTCGCCGCGCGACGGATCGCCCACCTCTGGGGCTCTCGCCGGCGAGGCTGGGCTGCCGCCAGGTGCTGATGGGCCGATTTTCCACCACCGCTTCCATAGGCAGGAGGAGCAGGGGGAGGAGGAGGAGGAGGAGGAGGAGGAGGAGGAGGAGGAGGAGGAGGAGGAGGAGGAGGAGGAGGAGGAGGAGGAGGAGGAGTAGGAGGAGGAGGAGGAGGAGGAGGAGGAGGAGGAGGAAGGTGGAGGAGGAAAAGGAGGAGGAGGAGGAGGACCTCCCCATCCTTTCCTCCCCCGTCCTACCTATGGTGGTGGTGATAGTGGTGGAAAATGCGCCCATCAAGGGGCGAGGCACTGGACTCCGGACTGGAGGCCACGAGCGCTGGTGGCGATCGCCCTCGAGAGCCTCGAGAGCCCCAAGCCTGACCGACCTCTACCGCACGGCGCACTGGGATCAGAAGGGAAAGCTACACACACGCAGACGCATTTAATCGTCCATCCCTGGAAAAGATTGGAACATGTGGGAGGTGGAGGGGGGGAAACGAAACTCCAGAAAAGATTGGCATGTGGGGCACTCTGGGAGTTGTGTTTTTTTTGTGTGCACCTGGACTTCTCAACAGGAGGCGCTCGCCGCGGGGCGATCGCCGGTTCGCCGCGCCGCGATTCGCCGCGTTGCCGCCTCTTCCGCCTGCGGAGGAGGCCAGCACGGCCCGACGAGGCAGATACTTACTTGCCAGCATGACCGACCACATCCCACATCCGCAGTCCAGACCACATGCCTCGCTCTTCCTCCGAATGTGGACGGTGGCTTGGCGGCCGACGTTGGCGACGGCATTCCCGAGATCAAGGCATGGATGTTATGTAGCTGCTCGTGGATTGTCTGCGGTGGAAAGGCAGCCCACAAAAGCCTCGGGAGAGGAAGCGCTTCGGGTCGTGGAATCGAGTGTCTGGAGAGAGGGGGGAGGGCGGCAGCGCCCCCCGGGACCAGTCATGATTGGGTCGTGGCGGGGGGCGCGGCGGGGAAGCTGGCGAGTAATACTTATGCGTGCAGGGAATCATGTCTGGGCTCTTGCCGTCCTTATCCTGGAGGGGCTGCTGGGTCTGGCCTTTTTTTCGGCCGATGCCTTGTGCATCCCACAGTATCTGGCCGCATCAGTTTGCTCTCGCTCTCCCCTGAGGTCCCGTGCGATGTGAGCCTCTTTGCCCGAGCTCTGTGCGGCTTATCGGGCGCTCAACCTGGCGGGTGGCGAGTGGCGAGCCCCCCGCCGGAGCGCTGTGCGCGTGGCCTTCGCTCGCTTTCACGTCGCCGCCGCTGAATCGGTTCAGGATTGGTTCTGGCAGCGAGGGGGGGAACTGAGAAGGAAAAGGCCTGACTGATCAGAAGGCGGTGGGACTTCTCAGAAGCCCTCGCGCCTTTGGAGGAGGTTTCTGTGTCATCGGGGAAGGCTTGGAAAACTTCGCAGAAGGACGGGGGACTCCCGAGGCTTCTGAGAAGGCCCGCCCCTTCGCGTTCTCCCCCGCGCTCGCCGCCGACAGTCTGCGTCCGCCGGTTCGCGAACCGCGGAGTTCCTCCTCCGACGATTCGTTATCTGGCGACCAGCGCGCATGGCGAACCTCACTCTGCGCTTGCCTGCCGCGACGCTCGCCCCAGTGGCACCCGAAGGGATACCCATGCACGGCAACACAAAGGGCCACAGTGTCGGCCAGCGTGGGCCCTGACCAGCGAGTTGTTGCATTCGAGGCGGAAGCTCCGGGGTGCTATCTGTGTAGTGCAAGCCATGCTGTGAGAATTATGTTTGTGCCTTTCATGTATGTATGCATATATACATATATATATATACACATATACGTATGTATGTATGCATGCATGCATGCATGCATGCATGCATGTATGTATGTATGTATGTATGTATGCATGCATGCATGCATGCATGCATGTATGTATGTATGGATGGATGGATGGATGGATGGATGGATAGATGTATGTATGTATGTATGCATGCATGTATGTATGCATGTATGTATGTGTGTATGTATGTGTGTGTATGTGTGTGTATATATATATATATATACACCGGGCTACAGGGACGGGGGCCCCCGGCCCGGTGCCCCGACCCCTCATGAGTGCTCCGGGCCTTCGGGGCGTTCCCGGAGAGGCCCCCGGTTATTTGCCTAGACTCTTCGTGCGCGCGCCGGTCCCCCGGGAGAGTTCCCAGAGACGCCCAAGACAGGCCACGCGGGCCCTAAAGATGGCCAAGAGACCCTCAAGAGGCCCCGAAGCGGCCAAGATGGCTCCAAGATAGCCTAAGAAGCCCTAAGACGCCCCAAGAGCCTCAAAGACGCCTCCGAAGTGGGCCCCGAAAGGTCCAAATCGTAGATTATCCATTGTGTTTTTCGATGTTTTTTGCTTTCTCGCCTTTTCACTTTGCCGACGCTCCAAGATGGCCGAAGAGGCCCCCCAGAGCGCCCCAAGACAGCCCGGGAGGCCCCCAAGACAGCCCCAAGACGGCCCCAAGACGGCTCTGGAGGGCCCCAGATAGCCCAAGAGGCGCCCAAGAGGGCCCACAGGGCCCTCAGAAGGTCCCAAGAGCCTTCAGATAGCCTGGAGGCATCCAGATAGCCTTCGGGCAGGGCCGGACAGCGCCGCAGCGGGCCAAGAAACCTCCTGGGAACCCTGGACGGCGCCAGCACGGCCCAGCACACCCCTGAAACACCCCCAGAACAGCCCGAGAGTCAGTCCAAGAAAGCTTTGCGACGTCCGAAGCCCGACACAACACGGCACGAATATTCCGTGCCCCACGACGGTCATTACTTCCGGCGACCCCGCAACTCTCGAACTGAAGCGTCGAGACATTCAGCCAATGTGGCATGAAGGCGCCCTGGCCTGCGCTAGAACCTAAGCGCGCGCGTAGCGCGCGCGTGGTTCTAGTGTGTATATATATATATATATATATATATATATATATGTGTGTATGTGTGCGGTGTGAACTATGCTGTGTAAGCTACGCGGTGAGACCTGTGTGGTGTGGGCTATGCTGTGTAAGCCATGCAGCGTAAGCCATGCGGTGGGAGCTATGCCGTCTAAGCCAGCTGTGCTGCCCACCAAGGGCACGGGCCACGGGCCGCCCACGAGGTGAGTGCGGGCCGGGCATCAGGCGAAACCTCGGCATACCCCCAAGCGCGGGGCGCCCACGAGGCGCCCGCGGGCGGGCGCCAGGCGAAACCTCGGCATGCCCTCTCCCCCCGCCCAGCGCGGGCCGCCCGCGCGACGCCCACGGTCGAAGACGAAGAAACGCCACCAACGTGAGCTTTTGGCGCTTTCCTCTTCTTCTGCACGGCCGGGCGACACCTCGGCATGACTGCCCCCACCCCCTCAGCGCGTGGCGCCCACGAGGTTCCCCAAGGCGGGCACGGGGGGACGACTCGGCATACCCACCCAGCGCGTGGCGCCCACGAGGCGCCCACTGGCGCCCACCAAGTGGGCACCAGCCGAAACCTCGGCGTACCCCACCAGCTTCTTGAGAACGAGAGGTTAGACCCCTCAGGTGCAAGCACTGCTCGGGACATCTCGAGTGCACCGCGTGTCTGCTGCGAGCACATCCCGTGAGTGGATTTCCAGCGGCACTTGGAGCATGCAAGCAGTAATAAGAAGGGCGCTCGTCGGGTCAAGTCTCTCCAAGAAAATGCGCGCAGGGTTACACCAACCCCACGGTTTCGGCCTCATCCCTGCCCTGCCAGGCGTGCACCCAGGTGAGGTACACGGCTGGCGCGTTTACGGGCACCATCACCGAGACGCAAGTTTCGACGAGCACCATGCAGGAGCACAGTCGCTTGTTGTTTTCTTTCTCATTGAGTGCAGGGCTGGGGGAGTAAAGGCGAGAAACAGGGAGGCAGCAGACATGATGGATGCAGGGGCAAGGCGGCGCCGAGGAGTACACGCAGGTGACGACGACGAGGAGGTCGACGACGACAACGATTGTGCCAGCGGCGACGACGGCGACAACGATGATGGCGTCGTGGAAGATGTGGATGAGTTGGAGGAGGAGGAGGAGGAGGAGGAGGAGGAGGAGGAAGTGGAGGAGGAGGAGGAGAAGAATGGAAGGCGGAGGGAGGTGGGTTGGGTGAGGACGACGAGGTCATTTGCGATGACGAGGACGAGGAGTACAGTTAGCCCGCATAGTAAGGATGAGCGACTTTCCAAAGTTAGTTACCCTGGCATTCTTCCCCTTCGACCCATCATTGGCCACTTTCGCTGGCCGCGCCCCGCTCGAAAGTGTCAAGATGGCCTTCCAAGGCCATCGCAACCTTATTGTGCGTCCCTATTCTACGCGTTGGCCGTAGGATGCAGACAAGGGTCTCATAATCCAGTTGGGGCCAACTCTGCGCTCGCTATACGACCACCCTTCGGGTGATAAGGAGGTTCGGGGGGGGGGGGAGGAACCAACGTCTCACTCGATCGGTCTCGATATCGATCTCACTATCGATCTCACTATCGGTCTCGCTCGATCGATCTCACTCGATCGATCTCACAATCGATCTCACTCGATCTAATTCATTCGATCGATCTCACAATCGATCTGACTATCGATCTCACAATCGATCTCACTATCGATCTCACTATCGATATCACAATCGATCTCACATTCGGTCTCACCATCGATCTCACTATCGATATCACAATCGATCTCACAATCAACGTCATCATCGTCATCAACATCATCATCATCGGGTCACCATGGTTACATAACCTCATCACCATCATCAATATCGCCATCATCAACATCATCATCGGGACACCATCATCGTCACCATCACAATCAACAACATCATCATCATCATCATCATCATCATCATCATCGGGACGCCATCATTATCATCATCGGAACACCACCATCATCATCATCGTCTCAGCATCAACATCATAAACAACATCAACACCGTCACCATCGGGACACCATCACCATCATTAGCGATATCATCATAACCATCACCATCATCATCATCGGGGCACCATCATCACCATCATCATCATCACCATCGGGACCCCATCATCATCATGAACATCAGCATCATCACCATCATCGGGCCACCATCATCAAAATCATCATCATCACCTCATCATCTTCCTCACCATCAATATCATCACCATCATCGGGACCCCATCATCGTCATTATCATCATCAATACCATCATCATCGAGACACCATCATTATCACCATCATCATCATCAACAGCATCATCATCAACCTCATCATCACCATCATCATCGGGACACCATCATCACCATCATCATCATCTTCATCATCATCAGCATCATCATCATCTCATCATTCATCATCATCATCATCATCAACATCATTAGGATCATCAGCATCATCATCATCATCATCATCATCATCGGGACACCATCATCATCATCAGCAACATCAGCATCATCAACAACACCATCATCGGGACACCATCATCATCACCACCATGGCCATCATCATCACCATCGTCAACAGCATCATCATCATCATCATCATCATCATCATCGTCGGGACACCATCATGGTCACCACCATCACCATCATTATCATCATCATCAACATCATCGACATCATCATCATTATCATCATCATCATTATCATCATCATCATCATCATCATCATCATCATCATCATCATCATCATCATCATCGGGACACCGACGAGACACCGGCGGGACACTGGCGGGACACCGCGCGGCACCGGCCCCCGGAAAGGAAACATTTGGTCCGGCCGCGCCTCAGCCGGAGGTGGGACACTGGCGGGACACCGCGCGGCACCAGCCCCGGGAAAGGAAACATTTGGTCCGGCCGCGCCTCAGCCGGAGGGGACTTTTTTTTTTTCGCCCGCCCACGCAGCTTCGCCTAGCTCGCACGCACGGCACGCACGAACACAAAACCGAAGCCGATTTCCCGGTATGTGGGCTCTACGTTCCACTTCGATCTCACCCCTCACCTCCGATACAAGGGCGAGGAGGGTGAGGACGATGAGAAAGACGATCAGGAACTGGATGAACAGGAGCAGGAGCTGGAGTTTTGACGGGATGGTGAGAAGGGGGCAGGGGAGGTGGACAGGTAAGCGAGAAATGAGAGGTGGATGGCAGGGAGGTGAGAGGGCAGGGAGGGAGAGAGGGATGGAGAGGGAGGGAAGGAGAGAGGGTGGAAGGGGACGATGATGATGATGCTGATGATGATGGGTGATGACGATGACGATGCTGCTGATGATGATGACGATGGCGATGATGAGGATGTTGATGATGCTGATTCTGATGCTGATGATGACGACGATGGCGATGACGATGATGATGATGATGATGACGATGATGATGATGCTACTTCTGATGATGATGGTGACCATCATGATTATGCCGAAACCGATGGTGATACTGACGATGCTGATGCTGATGATTATAATCACGATGATGCTGATGATGATGATGCTGATAACGATGATGCCGATTTTGATGATGCTGCAGTTGATGATGGTGATGATGAGGATGGTGATGCTGATGATGAGGAGGAGGATGAGGATGACGACGATGACGATGATAACGTGACGATGCCTTCTCTGATGCTGCTGATGATGATGCCTTCTCTGATTATGCTGCTGCTGCTGATGATGATGATGATGATGCTGATGAGGATGATGATGATGATGATGATGATGATGATGATGATGATGATGATGATGATGATGATGATGATGGTGATGATGCTGCTGATGATGCTGCTGCTGATGATGATGATGGTGGTGGTGGTGGTGGTGGTGAGGAGGAGGAGGATCAACACGACGAGATGGATTGCTTAAAAAGGTTGCGTGTTATTACCCCCCCCCTCTCTCGGCTCAGCCCCGCTCTGTCTCTCCACTAAATCTTGGTTGCTTCTCTTCTGGGTGTTTTGGAGTCATTTCCCCCCTTCGTCGTCGTTGTGGTTGCCTTCCGTCGTCGTCCGTTGTTGTTGTAGTTGTCGGCCGTCGTCGTCGTCGTCGTCGTCGGTGGCGGCGGCGTCGGCGTCGTCGTCGTCGTTGTCGGGAGTGGGTGGGGCGAGCAGCAGAGCGTGATGTGGAGGAGGAGAGGAGGCTTCCGATCCGTGGGTGGACATTGTCTTGGTCAGATGGGGGGGGGGCTTACCTTGGGGGCCCCCCAGATGGGGATGGACAGTGTCCTGCTCAGAGAGGGAATGGACAGCGTCCTGGTCAGAGGGAGGTCGTGGATGGACAGTCTCGTGGGGATCCCATGTGCCCTGTCCCGCATCTTCCAAGCAGGGCCAGGCAGAGGCCGGTGACGCCCCAGGCGCAGCCTAAAGCGTCCCTGGCGCCCCAGCTAGTCCCACCCAGGTGCCGCGGAGCAGACCTCGTGCCGCTGCTCTGGGTCCACGGCCCCCGTTCCCGCTGGCTCCCAGGTCTGATCTTTGGGGCCCTCGGGGAGGATCACGCTGGGGCCGTGACTGCCTCCAGGGGCTGCATGTGTGCTACCCCAGGCCTTGCTCAGGAGAGGAGGAAGAGGAGGACAAGGAGGAGGAGGAGAAGGAGGAGGAGAAGGAGGCGGATGAGGAGGAGGAGTAGGGGGAGCGCGCTAGGAGAAGGAGGAGGAGGAGGAGGAGGAGCAGCAGCAGGAGCAGCAGGAGCAGCAGGAGCAGCAGCAGGATGAGGAGGAACCAAGTTCCCGGCCGCCCTCTCCTCAATAGCGGCCTCCAGCCCGTGGTGTACTCCGCGGGTCCGCGCGTGGGCAACAACGTTGTCGTGTCTGTGTGCCCCGCCCTCGACAGGGTACGATTGTGGCGTTGACTTCTGATTGGCTCGCGGTCCCTGGTCGGACTTGATGTCGATGTCGGATTGGGGCGCTCCACAGGGCTTTGCCTTCGAGGGTCGAAGGAGTTGAGTTGTCATCTCTTCCGCGGCGGAAGGCGGCGGAAGGTCGGCGGAAGTAAAACGAGGCCGCCTGAAGCTCTTCGGAAGGCGGCGGAAGTAAAACATGTGCCCCCAAGAGATGAACACGTTTTTGGGTACTCCAGATTTCGTAATAAAAGGGAGGGGGTCTGGACCCTCCAAGACAAGCCATTTCAGACCTCCCCCGTGGGAGAACCCTCCAAAACATCGTCCCCAGACCCCCCCAGGCCCTCCAAGATAGCCTGGAAGAGACCCCCCCGAAATGAGACCCCCCTCCCTTTATTACGAAATCTGGAGTACAGGCTTTTCGGAATCACTCTTACTGCCACACGCTGCCAGGCTCCGTCTGAACAAGGAGCGCCCAGGCAGTTTCGCCTCGGCGTTCGATTCTCGATCAGTCAAGAGGCCCCGAAGCTCGATCCTGGAAACTCGATGCGATGGGATGGGATGGGGTGCCAGAGGGCGCTAAGTCCATGCGGAGTGTCACCATACACAGCCCAGCATCCGCACAAGTGCGCTAGACTTGGTGGTTCAGATTGTCCGCGTTGAGCCCTTTGCTGGTGATCTGGGTGTCTGGCCAACCAGTCACGCAGGGAGCAACGCAGGCAGTGAAGTGCTGCCGCTGCGTGTCCTTGCTGGCGTCTTTGCAGCTCCCCCCCTGTAGTCGAAGCACACATCCGGCGCCGATGCTGCCGCACTGCGCACGGCGGGGAGCACGGGGGAGGGGAGAGACGGGCGTGCCAGACAGGCGTGGCGGACGCGCGTGGGCGAGGGGAAGGAGGGGGGGCGGAGCGAGGCACGAAACGCACTGCCGTGGGCCCTAGGACGTAGGAGAAAGCATCGCAGGCACCAGGCCTGGGCAGCAGGAACGAGCGGAACGATCGGCAGCAAGCAGAACATGTAGCCAGAGTCGAGCATCCCCAAACAGCGTTTTTAGAGCCGGGATGGCTCCGAACACTGCTCGCGCGTCCTCCGCATCCTCTTCGTCCTCCTGCTCCTGGTCGGCCTGCACCCTCGTCGTCATCGTTGTCGTCGTCGTCGTATTTGTCGCGACTGTCGTCGTTGTCCTCCTGCACATCACCCTCTTTCTCGCCTTTCCCCCTCCCGCTCCACCTCATCCTAAATACTCCTTATCCTGTCCTTCCGTTCTTCCTCCTCGTATTTCCGCCTCATGCTCCTGCTCTTTTTCCGCCGCCTGCTCATTTCTATTATTTTGTTTTCCGCCTCATGTTCCTTATGCTGTTGCTCCTTCTGGTTATCCTCGCGCCTCTTCGTCCTGCTGGTTTTACTCCGCGCCGTGCTATTCCTCCTCTCGCTGAAGGCATCTTGGAGCTCAGAGTTGTGAGGACGTCTCAGGCGAAACTGGCCAGACCAGTTCTCTCGCGGCTTCTCCGAGCCGAGATTTGCGCGGGCGAAACAGGCTGGACCGAATGCCTCAGGTCAGGGCATCTCCAAGCTCAGCCTTGCACCTTTCATTCGAGGCATCTCGGAGCCCAGATTTGGGAGAATGTCTCATGCGAAACGGGCTCGACCATCTCTTGCGCCACATCTCGGGGCCCCCAGTTGCGAGGATGTGCCTCGAGTTGGGAGGGTGTCTCAAGCGAAACGGGCTGGAACTCCTCGCGCGTGGAGCTGCGAGAATGCTTCAAGCGAAGCGGGCTCCACCAACTCGCGCGCGGCATCCTCGAGCCCCTTGCGAGGATGCCTCAGGCGGAATGAATGGCCCGGGCCACATCTCGCACAGCATCTCCGAGCCCAGCGCTGCGAGGAAGCTTCGAGGAATTGGCCAGACCGCTTCAGGTCAGGGCCTCCTCGAGCCCAGAGTTGCGAGTCTGTCTCCGGCGAAGCGATCTCGACCGCCTCTCGCGCGGCACCACCAGGCTCAGAGGGGCGAGGATGCCTCGGGCGAGACAGCAGGCCAGATCACCTCTCATGCCGCAGCTCGCGGCCCAGAGCTGAGGGCTGCCTCCGGCGAAACTGGCCGGACCACCTCGCGCGCGGCAACATGGAACCCAGAGCTGCGAGGATGTCCTAGGCGAACCGGGCGGGACCCCCGCGCACGTGCCATCCTTGGCCGGTGAAGGGCAGGGTGGCAGTCTCGGGCTGTGGTCGGGCGGCGACCTCGGCGGCGTGGGCAAGCAGTGCGACTGGGCCGACAGCGCGGGAGGACGCGAGGCCACAGACGGTACCGGCGCCTTCTCGTCGGAGCGACTGACACGTCTGTCTCAACGTGTCCGTCGGAGCGCCCGCGGCGGCAGGCGCTGGTCGCTCTGCGGGGGCAGACGGTGCCGAGGTGGACAGCGGCGGCGTCGGACTGCACCAGCAAAATGTTGGGATTGACGAGCTCCCTGGGCATGTTTGGGGAGGCAGTGTTTTTGGCATCACCCAAACATGCTTCGACAGTGTGTGCGTCGCCCCCTGGGGGCGACGCGCGCGCTGAGAGATCTTCTAGCATGTGCTGGATCGCGGGTGCCTTCTGGCCATACCACCTAAGCAACCACGTATTAGTATGATCGTCATCATTATGACAATTATTCTGTAGTAGCGTATCGCTATGATTCTGATACTTATATTTAGCATTGCAGCTATTGTTCACAGCTGTTGTATTTATTGTATACTCGGATAATTGCATTTACCATCACAGGTATTATTCGTGTTGTTGTTATATTTGGCATCATCACTATGTTTGTGATAAGTATTATCATTATTAGTGTCACTGTTATTGCTATGACTATTGTTATCATTCTTATTATCATCGTTATTGTTACTGTCAATATCATTATCATCAGTCGCATCATTGTGAGCATTAGCATTCGCATCATTCTGAGTCTTCGCATCATCATTCGTAGTATTATTAACAGTACTCGTACACGGTGCATGTGCTAGATGAGCAGTTCGGACGTGCGCCTCCCAGGGTGGCGCACAGTGTTGGCATGGTCTTCTGCGTCCCGCGCCAAGCGTGGCGCGGGGAAGTTCTCGGGCCCTTAGAGCGCTTGTGACGAGAGGGCCGCCTGCGCCCGGCCGATCCGCTCGAGAGCACCTCGTCGCTCCCGACGAGGGGGAGGGAGCGAGCCTCGACTTGGGCGCGGCAGCTCGGCGGAGTTCAGCCTCCTCCTCCTCCTTCTCCTCTTCCTCCTCCTCCCTCTCCTCCTCCTCCTCCCCCTCCTCCTTCTCCTTCTCCTCCTCCTCCTCCTCGTCCCTCTCCCCCTCCTCCTCCTCCTCCCTCTCCTCCTCCTCCTCCTCCCCCTCCTCCTTCTCCTTCTCCTCCTCCTCCTCCTTCTCCTCCTTCCTCTCTGCCAGACCAGCTCGAGCACATCCGTCCCTTTGTGCAGACTGCCCCGCCTGTGCCTGAATGGGAGATTACGTTCGACGAATTTCGCAACATCTTCAACAAAGTCAGAGATTCCTCCCCAGGCCCAGACGGACTAGTCCTTGCTTGGCTGCGTGCAGGAGAAGACGCGCTTCTCACCCTGTTTCGTGTCTACTGCGCGCTCTTTCACTGCCTGTGCGTTGGAGACGGCTTCAACCACGCCCTCGCAGTCTTCCTTGTCAAGGGCGAGGTCCCGCCTGATGTGTTCGCAGTATCCAGATCCGCGGACAAGACAAGGCCGATCACGCTCAGTAACACATGCAATGAGCTCTGCTGCCTGGCTCTGAATCATGTCCTGGGGTATGTTTGTCAATTGGTTTGCTGCAAAAATCAGACGGGCTTTGTCCGTGGCCGCTCGATGTTTGACAATATTATTGGTTTGGAGGCCAGTATGTGTCACTACCTATGCCAGCAGTTCCTACCTGACTCTGGTTGTGTTCTCTATGATGTTAAAGCCGCCTTCCCTAGCCTTCTTCACGAATATATTCATTGGATTTTGGAGCTCGCGGAGATCCCCCCGAGGTTCCGTAAGGCCATCAAGTTGCTATACTCCCAATTTTGGGTCAGCGTCTCGTATTGCGGGGTCACGCCCTTTGGATTCTGGGTTACTCGAGGCATTAAACAGGGGTGCCACTATCAGGTTCCATATTCGCCCTCTGCCTCGACCCCATTCTCCGCCTCATGATCTCTCGACTTCCTCCCGACCACTCCCGGATGGGCGCATTTGCAGATGACATCGGCATCGCGTGTGGGGACGTCTACCACGCGCTGACAGTCACCCTTCCGATTTGGTGCACCGCTGCCGGTGCTGCGGGGCTCGTGCTTAAGTTGGAGGGCATCCAGATTGTCATGCCCCGCTTGCCCGAGCACGCAAAGTTCCTCTGTCGTTTGCGTGCTGTTGGAGTTCGAGGGAAGAAGTTTCAGCTGACGCACACAGGCAAATATCTTGGTCTTATGCTCGGCCTAGAAGGGTTGCACCAGTCGTGGCGGGCACCAGGCAGCAAGTACTTCGACAGGGTAGCCACCACCAAGGCCCTCCATCTCGGCCTCGAAAAAAAACTTCGCCAGATACAACAATGTGTTCGACTTCTCGACCCTTACTTTCGTCGCCCAGTTCCACCTCCCTGATCATCACATTCTGAATCTTGAGAATCGAGGATTACAGCTCCTAATTGAAGGCCCCTGCAATGCATATAGTAACTCCCTCTTACATAGTCTTGAGGGATTGGGCTTCCCCGTTCAAGCTCGTAATTTGTATACTACCTCCCGTGCCTCTATGTATCGCCTAGCTATGAATTCCAAAGTTTTCATGAAATTACTGATTCGTTTGGCCAGTACAGTGAATCCATGGAGTGTGTTGTTGCGTGGGAGAGTCGTCCGCTATATTTAAACTCTAGCTTCCGAAGTCTGTGGATGAATTTCAAAGCCCTGTCTAGTATTCCCGATATCCCTGATTTTGGCACGCCCGCGTTGCAGAGGAAAACTGAGGCCCTCCTGCTGTCTCGTGCCGCCGACAGCCCTACCCCCACTATCTTTGCTCGAACCGCTCACTGGTGCCGCATTTCGTCCGCCGAAAAAGATCAGCTGCTGCTCGCATTTCGTAGGATTGCAAAGCAGACGCCACCGAGTGTCTTTGCCTCAGTTCTTCGCACGATTTCTAATGCTTGGACGACCTCCCGACGCTTCAAGGGCCAAACTAAGCCATGTATCTGTTGTGCCAATGTAGAGTTTCAGGATTCCCTAGCACACATGCTAGAGTGCCGTATCCTGCATGATGCCGTTGCTCCCCTCCTTCCTCGTCTCCCTCCGTCTGCGGGGTCGTGTGGGGGCCGTGCTCTTGCCGCTGCCTTCCCGCTCCTTCCCCTCCCCGACGAACAGTTGCTGTCATTCGCCCTTTTCATTGATGCTGCCTGCATCAGCTATCACACTTACAAGTCAACGTCATGGCTCCGAGGCGAGTCCCGTCTCCGCAGAGCCCTGAAGGCCCGACTTTGCCAGGTGCTCAGGAGGCAACCGTCCCTCCAGGAGCTCGTGCACTAGTGCATCGCCCCGCTCGATGTCTTCGAGCAGCTGGAGATGTGGGACTTGGGACTCTTTTTTCTCTCCCCTTTGCCTCGTGTCCGCCTCTTTCTTTCTCTTGCTCGCGTCTTGCCCGCTTGCCCTCCCTCGTGGCCTGTGCACTCCTTCTCTTCCTTCCTCCCCCTCCTCCTCCTCCCCATCCCCTTTCTCCTTCTCCTTCTCCTCCTCCTCCTCCTCCTCCGCCTCCTCCTCGTGGCCATGCGCCGTCTGCCCGGCAGGTGCACCCGAGGCCGCGGCCGCCGCGAGCTGCGCGCGTGCGCCAGCTCGAAACAGCGCGGCTCGAGACGGTCGGCACGTCTCCCTGGAGGTTGCGCTGAGCGCGACTGCTTTCGACCACGCGTAAGAGTGACCCTTCGGCAAAGTGACCTTTGGTGCGGGCCCACTGGGGTCCACCGATCGCCGAACGCGATGCGATCGTAGCCTCTTCCGCGTTTGGCTTTGGCCGCGGCCCCCCGAAAGCCGCGCGCCACCAAAGATCACTCTTGCATAGGGTCACTCTTGCGTGTAGCCGATGCTGCTTCGTCGTCGGCGCCGTCGTCGCCGTTGTCGTCGTCGTCGTCGCCAGCGCCGGCGTCGGCGTCGTCGTCGTCGTCGTCGTCGTCGTCGTCGTCGTTGTCGTGGCGGGGACTCGAATTGTGCCAGTCGCCAGGCCGTCCTTGGTGGCTGGCAGAGTTCGAGCCGCAGCAGAGCCTGCGGCGGCGCAATGTGGCCGTCGGCGCTTGCCAGGCAACGGCGGCGACCGGCGGTCTGGGGTGTCGGGCCGAGGTGGGGTCGGGGGCGGCAAGGAGGGGGGTGATGACTTACGGGGGGTGGATACCATGGCGGGGGCCATGATATCTCCCGAGATTTCATGGCGCCTCTGCTTATTCAATAATACGTCCCCAGCCCCCCCCCGGGCCACGCACATGCCGCTGGCCATGATTTGCACCCCCCCCTTGGACGCTCCCCTCTTTAGGAAACCCCCGATGTGGGGGAAGGCAGGAAGACACCAGCTGGAGGCCAGGAAGGCAGAACACCAGCTGGAGGCCGAGGTGGGGCGAAGGAAGGCAAACCCTGAGATCCTGGGGTCTCGATTTTAGTCGAGCCCTGCGTTTCCCCCTTTTTTCGGGCCCCGGGGCCTTCACAGACCGATGCGGCTTGAAACATGGCGCAAACCGATGGGGGGGGGGTCTCAGGGCTCCGGCGACGCTGGGCCCTCTGAGCCCGGCCGCGCCGTCGCCGCGCCTCTTTCTTGGGGCGCGGCGCGTCCCCGATGGACCCGCCCCCGCGGGGTGAGAGGGCGCTTTCGCTGCACGCTCAGGGCCAATCCAGCGAACGATTCGCGGGAGGGAGAAAACCACACAGACACACTTACTCGTCGATTCCCCAGAAAGTATGGGAAAATACGGGACGAAGGGGGGAAGACGAAAACCAAGATAATATGGAAACATATGGGGAATCCTGATATCTGTGCTTATTATCTGTGTGTCCCAGGGCGCCTTCAGAGTAGCTGGATGGATGAAATTGAAGCAGAGAGGGGCAGGGGCGGGGGCGACGGATGATTAGGGTACCGGGGCGGGGAGGGCATGAGGTGGGAGCGGAGGGAGGGCATGGGGGAGCCGGCCCGGCCTGCCTCCCGGAGGAGCGTGGAGAGGATGCGGATGAGAATTCTGAAGGTGAGGGGAAAGGTGGTGGTGATGGTGACGGTGGTGGTGATGATGCTGCTGATGATGATGATGATGAGGAGGAGGAGGAGGAGGAGGAGGAGGAGGAGGAGGACGACGACCACGGCGGCGATGGCGGCGATGAAGGCGGCGAGGACGACGGCTGTTGGGGCGACGACGTGGGCGGCGGCGACGACGACAGCCGAGGCCAGTCGCTGGAGCTGTCGCGGGAGGCGGCCGAGACCGCCTGCAGCGAGCTTCCGGGCTGCGAGGTCATCGTCAGCTTCCAGGCGGCCGCGCAGTCGTCGCCGTCGTCGTCGTCATCGACGTTGTCGCCGTCGGTTTTCAGAAGTAGTCCACGTGAGCGGTGGGTGAGCAGGAGGAGGATGTGGCGGATTAGGCGGATAGTAGTGATGTTGAACGCAGGGTGATTATGATTATGGTGATGATGGGCATGGCGATAATGATGGTGATGATGATGATGACGACGATGTTGATGATGATGGTATTGTTGCTGATGATGACTATGACGACGATAATGAATATGATGATGCTAATGCGGATCTGGATGATGCTGATGTTACCATGATGATAATGATGATGGTGGTGATGATGATGATGATTGAAAACGATGGTGATAGTAATGATGTTGCTGATGATGATGATTATGAGGATGGTGATGATGATGATCATGATTATGATGGGGATGACGACGGAGATGATGATGAGCAGGAGGATGAGCATAATGGTAATGGTGATGGTCATGATGATGATGATGATGATGATGCTGATCATGCTTATGATGCTGATACGACTTATGGTGGTGGTGATGATGGTGATACTGATGGGGGTGGGGATGATGATGCTGCTGATGATGATGACGATGCGGTTGCTGCTGCTGGTGATGATGGTGACGAGGATGACGATGATGAGCATGATGGTGATGATGATGATGATGATGATGATGATGATGATGATGATGATGATGATGAGGTTGGTGATGACGCTGATGATGCTGATAATGCTGATGGCGGTGCTGCTGACGATGATGGTGATGGTGATGATGGTGATGATGGTGGTGATAACGATGACGATGACTATGACGATGATGATGAGGATGATGATGATGATGATGATGATGATGATGCTGATGATGATGATGATGATAATGATGATGGTTGTGTTGTTGTTATTGTTTTTGTTGTTGTTTGTTTGTGATGTTGGTGAGAATACTGTTGATGATGCTGTCGTTGATGGTGGTGAGGAGGAGGATAGCGATGTTTCTTTACGATGTTGCTGGTGATGGAGGCGATGATGGCGATGATGCTGATGCTCACAATCGTATTGGGGGATTTTGTAGTGGTTATGTTGATTGTGTTGACAAGGCTGTGATGAAGCTGATCTTGAGCATGATGACGATGCTGATGATGAGGGCGGCCTCACTGTCGTCGTTGTCGCAGTCAGTTTGCGGAAGTAGTCGAGGTTTTCGGAGGGCTCTTTTGAGCCCGCGGAATCCATTCTAGCGTTTCAGCTGGAAGAAAACCCATACCAGGTCACACGCATCATCACACCCATGCGAATCCCAGATGAATGATCTTCTGGTGGGAATCCTCCCCGCAGCCTGCTTCAAAGCTGCTCCCCTCCTGACTGACACGCGGGGTGCAGGTTTCAGCAGTCTTAGCAGGGGCTCCCCCAGAACACGAAGCATGTCCATAACAGTATGTTATGGATCGCAGAGGCTGACGCATGGATGCTAGTCTTCGAGACCCAGCGCTGGGCCACGCAGCCCACCGATCCAAGCGAAAGACATGGGACCCTAAATCGCAGACCCCCGACAGGCATTTGGCCAGAGCTTATCCAAGCGCCTATTCACATAATGGAAACCGTCCCAAACAGCTCCGGCACATACATGCCGTACCGGCTTTGACCACATGATGGCGTTGTTCTGACAACATTTGCCGTCGCTGGATCACACTGGTGAGACGTGTTTTCTTCTTGTGTTGGTTATGATATAGGCAAGCATCCCGAATCCCAGCACGAGCGAGGGCCACATGCCTACTGATCTCCAGGAGCAGTCGCACCACAAGGTGGCAAGTGTAGTCATCCTGCTCAACAACACGAGTTAGCTCTGGGTCGAACCACACCCATTCCCCAGCCACCCTGGCAAACATCAGCAACATCATTACGTAGCGACACGCCCGTGGGGCGTGCTTCGAGGTTGATCAATCTGGCTGCTTATCGTATGGCTCGTCACCCAGTGGGTAATTACAGACAGCACCATTCCTGGTCTGAGCGCGTCCCATACCTGCTGCCGTAAGCCCAACCTCACTGAACAATCTACCCTTTAGCTCCCGGACTGGTGGCAAAATCATTGGCGACGTAACATGGAATCAGTAAACGAGACGGTGCCACCATAGGTACGGCTCAAGGCCTGAAATACATCATACAGTGCTGCTCGGGGGAAGCTTTGAACAGGGGCGAGACAGGGTTCCATAGACCGCTCCACAAACTGCCTAGGGCCCAGGAAACAATTGGTTCACGGCATAACCACAACGCCCATTATGCCAGTCGTGGGCACAATGTTCTTTCCCCACAGCCGTCAGTTCGAAGAGATCCTCCATAAACCATCGTGGTGCGAGTGATGATCGCCTCCAGGAAGGTTTTCCAGGTCAAGGCTCTATCACCAGCTGTATGGAGGCCATCCAGCGGGGGGGGGGGCACGATCTCTTGGGCCCAGAAGCAAGCGCACTCTTCAGCACCAGCCTCTGCCCATCTCACCATTTGCTCGGTCAAGCCGACAGAAGGGTCACCATTCTCACCGTTCGGCTACCCGTGAGAGTGACCCTTCGCCAGAGTGACCTTGGGTGCGGGCCCACAGGCCTCCCCCGATCTCCGAGCGCTGTGCGTTAGTAGCGTCTTGTGCGCCTGTGTTTGCCCCCCCCCCCCCCCCTCGGCCCCCCAAATGCCGCGTACCAAGGGTCACTCTTACCCAGGGCCGCTGCTGCGTGTCGCCGACAGGAGAGCGCCGAGATCAGGCTGGTGCTGCCCGCCAGCACTCGCTTGCGCGCTGGGGCTGCTTGCATTGGACCCCGCCCCCGCGCCCCCCCCCCCCGAAGGCGGCGCACCGACAAGGGCACTCGTGCCCATCGCCGCTCGTGCGTGCAGCCTAGAGGGCCGCGCCAACCTCGGTGACCAGCGGCCCTCAGGGGGAGGAGAAGGAGGAGGAGGAGGAGGAGAAGGAGGAGGAGGATGAGGAGGAAGAGGAGGAGGGGGAGGGCATGATGATGCTGATGATGACGATGATGATGATGATGATGATGATGATGATGATGATGATGATGATGATGATGATGATGATGATGATGATGATGATGATGCTGATGATGATGCTGATGATGATGATGATGATGATGATGACGATGCAGATGATGATGATGATGATGCTGATGCTGATGCTGATTTTGATGCTGATGCTGATGATGATGATGACGATGATGCTGCTGATGATTCTGATGACGATGATGATGACGCTGCTGCTGATGATGATGGTAATGATGATGCTGCTGATGCTGCTGATGATGATGAGGAGGAGGAGGAGGAGGAGGAGGAGGAGGGTGGAGGAGGAGGAGGAGGAGGAGGAGGAGGAGGTGACCTCGGTGACCGCGGGGGACAGGTGAGACTCCGAGGCCGCCGGCGCTCTTCACGCGTTGTTCGGAGCCCGGCGCCTGCACACCTCGGGTTCCCACCCCCCCCTCGCCTCGTGGCCCGCTCGTCCTCGGAGGCCGTTCTGCTGCTACTCTGCTGCTGCTGCGCTCCCTCCCCAGACCCTCGACGTCGTGAGTTTTTGCGCAACGTCGACGCCCAGGCCGAGCGGGCTGGGTGGGACGGGGTGGCTGACGTTGTGGCTAAGTTGCCCCCCTCCTGGCGTCCTGGGGCTCCCAGATCTTGGACGGGCGGGGCCCAGAACCCCTCGAGTTGCGACAAAACTTGCGACGGGAGGTTTTTCACTATTTTCGGCCTCCACGGCCCCTGGGCCCGGGGACCCTCAAAAGCCGACACAGCATGAAAAACCGGTCCAGGGGAAGGGGTCCAGAGCTCTGGGTGTCGACGTGGCGAAAAAATCACGACGTCGGGGGTTTGGGGTTATGTTGTTCCCATCGCACTTACGGGCCACATCCCAGAAATAATTTCGAGCACCAAGAAAAGTATCAAAACAGTGTCGAAGCAGTATCGCCTCCCAGGGCACGACACGTGACAACCCTTCAGTTTCGGTACTTTCTTGGTGCTCGAAATTCTTTCCCGTAATCAAGACTAAAGTAGGTCAGAACACCAGAGGTCTGGGGGTGGGTCACCGCCACTGGGATGCGGAAGGCTTCTGCGGGCTGCATTCTTGGGTGCCCCCGCGGCGAGGGCTCCCTCTAGCACTGTCTCTGGTGGCCGCAGTTGCCCGAAAATGATGCCCTGCGTACGGTGGGGGCGTTGTTTGAGGGATGTGCTCAGAAGGCTTCAGACCATGGAGGGTTCCTTATCTGAGGAGGGCGGCGGTGATATTCATGGTCAATCCGCGATTCACCGTCTCCTGGACCCTGGATTCCTTATGCACTGGTTCCTTGTCCAATGCCCTCACCGTATGTTTTGACGGGCCTGTTTTCCACCACCACCACCATGAGTTGGAGGGGGGAAGGAGGTGGCGGACGAGGAGGAGGTGGAGGAGGATGACGAGGAGGAGGAGGCGGAGGAGGAGGTGGAGGAGGAGGAGGAGGAGGACCGAGGACCCCCTCCCCCTTCAACTTATAGTGGTTGTGATGGTGGTTGTAGTGGTGGATAACAGGCTCATCATGTTTGCCCTGGCGGACCCCACTGAGCAGAGCCTTTGAAGCCGGCTGTGCTGTTCCATACGCACCGCTTACTGTTCATGCCGGAGCCAGCAACCCGGGCCTCGACGTAAGGCCCCCAGAGCTTGCCCTAGCCATCGGCCGATCGGCAGTGTCTGTGACCGAGCTAGTCCTGGAGCAGGTGGTCTTTGACACAATCCGTCGATGCTGTGCCTCCTCCTCCTCCTCCTCCTCCTCCTCCTCCTCCTCCTATCTGGCAACTTTAACTCCTTGTCCTCCTCCGCCTCCGCCGCCTCCTCCTCCTCCTCTTCCTCCTCCTCCTCCTCCCCCTCCTCCTTTTTCGAAGTTTAGAGTTTTTCCAGCTTCGCCCCTGAATTACCTCGGGGGTCTAGATGGGCACAGGAGCCACAAGCCTCGCTCAGTGGGAAGCGGACGAGCAGAAATGGCCAAAGCGAGCTTGCACCATCCCTGCTCTTCGTGCCCCTTCTGATGCCTCTATCCGCTCCCACTCCACCGAAGCCTTACTGGTGCTATCGTGTATGTATGCCTGTCTGTCTGTTTGTCTGCCTGTTTGTCTGTCTGGTTGTCTGCCTGTCTGTATGGATGTGTGGATGTATGGATGTATGTATTTATGGATTTATGTATGGTTGTATATACACATATGTATATATATATATATATATATATATATATATTTATATATATACATATATATATATATATCCCAGTTGCTCCGCCCTCTCCAGTCCAGGATTGCTCTTGTTGCATCGGGTCGTGCGTCGCCCTCCGAACTCATTCGACGGCCGTACTCTGCACGCCTTGATCGACTGGGCCCTCTGGAGGGCCATAGGCCGCTGGCGCCTTGGAGCCAGGCCCACCTCTGTGGCCTTACGGCGCCTTAGCCTTTCTCTCTTGCACGCCCGAAGGTTTGCCGATCGGTCCCCCCGAGTATCCCCTCGCTCGTGCGGATCGCCACTGCCACGCCGCCGACAAGAGTGGGGCCTTTGGCTCGAGCAGCTGCGAACCAGCGCGCGCGGGAAACTCCCGTGAAGTCGTCGCGGATTCTCCCCGGCGAGTGGTCTGGACCGCCCCCTGGCAGGGGCCGCAGGCCGCCGTGCTCGCGCGGGCTGAGGCAGCAGGCAGCCCTCCGTGGCAGCATCCCTCTCGCGAGCGCGCCCGCCTGCGGCAATGCCAGGCTGCGAGCCAAGGAGGGCGCTGCTGCTGCCGAGCAGCGCCGCGCACGTCCCCCGGGGTCTGCACCTCTCCTCCCCTCGCCGCCTCCTGGGCGCCTGCCCGATCGCCCACACGTCGAGCTGCCTGCCGCCGCGGGCGCGCCTGGAAGGGACCGAGGGACTCTCTCCGCTCCTTCTCCTCTCGCGTCTCGTGCTCTTGGCCGCCCTTCTGCGCTCTCTCTCTCTCTCTCGCTCTCTCTCTCTTTCTCTCGTTCTTCGGCGAGCGCGCTCCCCTCGCCACCTCCCTCGATCTCGACTCCGTGTCCAGCCTCTCGCGGAGGCGGTTTGCAAAACGGGCTGGTGAAGCAGCTGCGCCAGAGGTTCGTGAGCTCCAACAGGCCTGGCCAGCTGCGCCAGAGATTCGTGAGCTCCACCAGACCTGGCCAGAGTCACAGGCGTTTTTGGCTTGACTCCTGCTCTGCATGTTTTCATTGAAAGTCGGGGTCATCGTGGGCTTGGGCCCACAGCAAGACCGTAGCGGGCTGGTGGACGAACACCACAGGTTCAAGGTCGAGGCCCTGGCCAATTGCCTTCTCGGATGCCCTCAGTGTCTGGTTTCTTTGCCCTACTAACCTCACTTGCCCTCGCCCCCTTGCCTCACGGCCCTCGTCCGCTCCCCTCTCCCCTCCCCGAGCCTGCCACTCGCATCAGGCTCGCACTCCCACCACTGCATACCTCCCAGTTCCAGCGAGAGCACGTTCATGCATACACCGTGCTGTCGCTTCACGGCAAAGTGCGGCACGCTGCGTCCCCGCCCCAATCCTCCTCGGCATACGTCCGCTTACGGCGCGGCGCGCAGCTCGAGCTGCCATCAGCATGTAGATGAGATCGGCACCTGCTGCGCCTCGTGCAGCTTGCGCTCCTCCTCCCCGTCGCCGTCGCCGCGTCGCCGCCCTCCTCCTTGCCGCCGCCCTCGCGACGCAGTCCCCCTGCTCAGTTTTCCTGCTCCTCGCGCTCCGTTCCCGATCAGCGTCGTAGCATTGCAATGTCGCGCGATGTCTTACCGAACGCGCTTGACAAACTGAGGGGCGCCGTCGTCGCGTCGCCGCCCTCCCATGTCGCCGCCCTCGCGACGTGGTCCTCCTCCTCTTCCCGCTCCTCGCGCTCCGTTCTCGATTGAACACGCTCGACAAACCGAGGGCTGCAGGGATTCGGCGAGCTCGCGGCGAGCGGACGCGCTCGTCGCGGAGACCGCAGCTCGCCCCCCCACAATCCTGGCGCAAGAGGCGCGTGTTCAGGCTCTCGCTCGGTGATCCGGCCACTAGGCCTCCTCCTCCTCCTCCTCCTCCTCCTCCTCTTCCTCCCTCTCCTCCGCCTCCTCCTCCTCCTCCTCCTCCGCCTCCTTCCTCCTCTTCCTCTTCCTCTTCCTCGTCCTCCTCCTCCTCGCTCTCCTCGCGCTCCACATGCTGCTGCTTCAACTCTCCTCCTCCTCCTCCTCCTCCTCCTCCTCCTCCTCCTCCTCCTCGGGATGGGCCTACATCCATCACACATCCCACGAAAAAGGCATCAACTCTCATGGATTCCAGGTGTCGCGCTGCGAGAATCAAGAAATTCCGGACTGGACCTTCGGTGTGTTCTTGGAGCTTCTGCTCTTCGTAGAAAGCTCGTAGGGCTGGACCTGGACTGATGTCTCAGCGAACGCTTCCAGTGAAGTCCGTTCTATTCGCCTGAAAGTTTCGAAACTCCTAGGCAGGGGTATGCCAGGCGGGATCCGCTCCTCTGCGATCGCGCTCCTCCGCGGTCCGCCGCGATCGCCCTCCTCGCGCTCATCGCGCTCTGCCGCGATCGCGCGCGCGCGCCGGCCGCCAGTGCGCCGGGGTGTACTGGTACGTCTGCGACGGCTCCCTGGACGAGGTCCAGGCCCAGAGCGCGGGCACGGAGGTGCGCCGTCCGCAGCCAAAGGGAGGGCGAGGAAGGGTCATGCGCACAGGAGGGCGAGGAGGAGGAGGGTGAGGAGGAGGAGGAGGAGGAGGAAGTTGAGGAGGCCGAGGAGATTGGTGACAGATACCGCTAATGACGAGGCAGAGGAGGAGGAGGAGGAGGAGGAGGAGGAGGAGGAGGAGGAGGAACGAAATGCAGCCAGGGATGAGGAGGAGGAGGAGGACGAGGAGGAGGAGGGGTAATTATGGGGAGGAGTAGGGTTATGAGGAGGAATACGGCCAGGAGCAACTGGATGATCCCAACTCTGTTGTAGGGCGTCGACTTGGGCGAGCTTGATCAAGCGTACCTGGGGTGGGTGTGAAGGGATGGAAGGAGGAGGCGGAGGAGGAGAGGAGGAGGAGGACCGATATGATCCAGAAGAGGATCAGGAGAAAGATGACGAGCAGGATAAGCATTAGAATCGGGACTCCGCTTGCGGCCAGCTGGTCCCAACGGCAGGCTCTTGCCTTGAAATCACGCTGTGTAAGTTCCAAGCATCGGGGACCTCTGGGCCCACGACGACCGTCGGCGAGCAAGGGATCTCCGAGACGATAGAGGACGCATGCACCACGGGAGACCGCGCCAGTAGCGCTCCTCATATAGATAATGCTTCCGAGGACGACGACGACAACGACGACGATGATGATGGTGATGATGATACTGATGATGGTGCTGGTGATGATTCTTAATGATGGTGATGACGATGTTGCTGCTGATGGTGATGGTGATGACGATGACGATGACGATGAAGATGATAAGGATGATGCTGATGCTGATGATGCTAATTATGATGATGACGACGATGCTGACGATGCTGACGAGGTTGATGATGAGGATGATGATGCTGCTGCTGCTGCTGATGAGAATCAGGATGATGATGAGGATGCTGATGAGGACGATGCTGATGCTGATGATGATCATGACGATGATCATGACGAGCATGATGATGAATCATAGTATGCTGACGATGATGACGACGATGATGAGTATGATTTTGACTATGATGATGCTGATGATGATGCTGATGGTGGTGATGATGATATTGATTAGGTTGCTGATGCGGTTGTCATTGTTGATGCTGCTGCCGATGATGAGATGAAATGATGCTAATGATGCTACATATGACGAGGATACTGGTCTTGATGATGATCATGCTGCTGATGACAATCATGGTACTGCTGTTGATGATGCTAATGCTGATGCTAATGATGACCATGATGATGGTGATGCTGATGATAATGCTGCTGATGGTGATTATGATTATGAGTCGGATGGTGATGATCATGCTGATGCTGATGCTGATGATGATGCTGAATATGATGCTGATGATGCTGCTGGTGTTGATGATGATGATGCTGCTGATGATGCTGCTGCTGCTCAGGATGATGATGCTGCTGTTGATGATGCTGCTGATGATGTTGTTGATGATGATGATGCTGATGACGATGATGATGATGACGATGATGATGATGATGATGATGATGATGATGCTGATGATGATGATGATGATGATGATGATGATGATGATGATGATGGTGGTGGTGGTGGTGATGATGATGATGATGATGATGATGATGATGATGATGATGGTGGTGGTGGTGGTGGTGGGGTGGCGGCGAGGATGAGGAGGAGGACGAGGATTAGGAGGAGAAGGCGGGGGAACACAATGAGCAGAATGAGGAGGAGGAGGAGGAGGAGGAGGAGGAGGAGGAGGACAAGGAGGAGGACGAGGAGGAGGAGGAGGAGGAGGAGGAGGAGGAGAAGGAGAAGGAGCAGCGGCAGGGGCACGAGGGGAGGAGGCAGGAGGGTGCAGGAGCGAGAGCACCCCGACGAGGACGAGCAGGCGCTCAGAAGGCGGCTTTGAATCCACTGCGCCCTCCCGGCTCTCTCCGCTTGGGCCCCCCTCCTCCTCCTCCTCCTCCTCCCTCCTCCCTCCTCCTCGTCCTCCTCCCCCTCGTCCTCCTCCTCCTCCTCCTCCTCTGCACCACGGCGCCGCCGGCCCCTCCCAGGGCCGTCGCCCCGTCGTGCGCCCTGCGCCATCGCCCCGACGACGGCGACGGCCGCCGAGCCGCCGCCCCGACGACGACGTGCGACGGACGGCCGACGGCCGACGACCGACGACCGACGGCCGGCGGCCCATGGCCGACGATCGACGAAAGACCGGCCGACGGCCGACAGCCGACGACCGACGGCCGACGACCGACTTTCCGCTCGGGGGCGCCGCCGCGGCCGCTCCCGTGAGGCGTGCACGTACGTCGCGGGCTACACCAGCACCACGGTCAGCACCCCGACGAGCACCAGCAGCCGCACGTCCGCCAGCACCTCCACGGCGGGCCTCTCCTCCTTTTTTGGGGTCGGGCCTCATCATCATCATCATCATCATCATCATCATCATCATCATCATCATCATCATCATCATCATCATCATCATCATCATCATCATCATCAGCATCATCATCATCATTCTCATCATCATCACCAACATCACCGTCACCATCGTTATCATCATCATCATCATCATCATCATCATCATCCTCATCCTCATCCTCATCCTCATCCTCATCATCATCATCAGCAGCAGCAGCAGCAGCATCCTCATCATCATCAGCAGCATCCTCATCATCATCGCCATCAGCATCACCGTCACATCATCATGGCCATGAATGCTCTGCATTGGCGCGGCGGCGACCCCAGCGCGGGCGTTCATGTGGGAGCGCCGCCAGTGGTCTGGAGCCGGCGGATATCAAACGACCTGCGCTTTCGGAACGCCGCGATCGTTCAGGGTGGAAGGAACCAGGCGGTGCCACGAAGAATGCGCACAAGTTATCGCACCCTTTATTGTAAGGAGAGGGAAAAAACACAGACACAATTCATCGTCGATCTCCAGGAAAATATGGGAAAACAGAGGAAGTGGGGGGACCAGAAGACATTGAAAATATGGTGAATCCTGGGATTTGTGTGTATTTATCTTTGTGTCCCTGGGCCCCTTCGAACTTGCCGGAACGGTCTTCAGCCAATCCCCTCTGATCCCCTCCTGGCCTGCCTGGTCTTGAGAGGAGGAGGAGGAGGATGAGGAGGAGGAGGAGGAGGAGGAGGAGGAGGAGGAGGAGGTCGAGGAGGTCGAGGAGGAGGAGGAGGAGGAAGAGGAGGAGCGCGGATCTCAGGGGCAGCGGTTTTCGGGTGTCTCTTCGGCGGCTCTCGGCGGCTCTCCGGCCTCCGGGGCGCTCTGAGTGCCAGCGGCGCCTCGCCGATCGGCGTCCCGGGGTCTGCCAGGATCGCCACGGGCGGCCGCCAGAGAGCCGAGCTGTGACCCGAGAAGCACCCGGCACGGGCACCTGGCGTGCTGAACTCTCGGCTGTTTTTGCTTCGCTTCGAAACTCCCCCCTGGGGGTTTCGGCCCAGCGCGCCGGCCACCCAGAGAGCTGCACACAATTTACCTCTCACAGGCCAGATCGTCGCCTCCACGACGGCCAACATGGCGCAAGATGACCTGAGCCAGGGTTGTGATGTTCCAACCTGTTTTAGCCTTGCTCACCAGAAGGAGTTTCGAGCACCAGAGAGTACCGAAATGTGAGGGTCTCCATGCGTCGGGCCCTGGATGGCGATACTCGCTCGACGCTGTTTCGATACTTGTCTGGGTGCTCGACATTATTTCTGGGATCGGGTCCTTAAGTACGATGGGAGCAAGATAAGCACAGGGGGGATGCATCGACCCAGAATCGCCCCTTGATCGCCGATAGGGGCCCGATCTCCCCAGCGTGCCCAGGAACGTGCGGATTCACTGTCGGGGGCCCATCGCCGATCTATCGGCGATGTATCGCTGACTGCAGATCGATGTTTCCTCTCTATGCCGCCCCTATGCCTATCCGTTCCCCATCGTTGCCCCTCAGGGTCGAAGATTGCTTGTTTGGGAATCATTCTGGCATTTTTTTGCCTCTGGAGGCCCGAAGTGTCACAAACGGACGCCCACTCCGTGGCGAGCGAGGGGGGGAAGTGAGAAGGAGAAGGCCTTCTCAGAAGCTGGCGGGACTTCTCAGAAGCCCCCGCGCCTTCTGAGAAGTTTTCTGTGCCTGTGGGGAAAGCTCCGAAAACCTCTCGGGAGGCCGGGGACTTCCAAGCCTTCTGAGAAGGCCTTCTCCTTCTCACTTCCCCCCTCGCTCGCCGCCGATCCACGTTCACGCGACGCGAACCATCTGCAGATTCTCATGGCGGAATCCCGCGCTCGACGCCTAATCCTACATTACGGGCGAGCATTAGATTAAGACACCTCCTGTCGAAAAGTTGGGCAAGCGTTTCTTGGCCAACTTTTCTGGGCATGCATGCATGCATGCATGCATACATACATACAGGCATACACATATACGTAAACACATAAGCATGTACCTACCTACCTACCTACCTACCTACCTACCTACCTACCTACCTACCTATATGCATACATACATACATACATACGTACATACATGCATACATACTTACATACATACATACATACATACATACATACATACATACATACATATATATATATATATATATATATACATATGTATACATAGATATATAAACATATACATATATATATATATACAAGACTGCAGTGGCGCTTCGCGCCATGCACCTTGGTCCTTGAAGTTTAGCGTGCAGGCGGCATGGCAGGAAGGTCAAGCCGACAATTTAGCGATAACTCCTGGTTGCCTTTTCCGGCATCGCCGCCATAATGATGTTATTCGTTATTATTCCTCCATGCTTATTGTTCCTCATTTTCGCCAAACCCTGTGCATTCTCCCCATCCTCCTCAGCTCTTTTTTGCGGAGGCTCCTCCTTGGAGAGCCTCTAGGGGCCTCACAAAAGTTGTTCCGGGCTTTCTTGAGGCCTTCTAGAGGCCTCCTGGGCGTATTCTGGGGGCCTCCGGGGGCTTCCTCGGGCCACCCTGCCTCCAACCGCCGTCTCCCTGAACGACCGAATCTCGATTTAGAATTCTTCGGAGGGTGTCTTTGGGCCATCTTGGGCCGCCATGGGGCTCTCTGAGGGCCATCTTGGACCCGTTTTGTGCCGTTTTGGGACTCTCTTGGACTGCCTGGAAGCCCTTTCGGATGGTTGTGGGGCGATTTGGGAGCCTCCCAGGCGGCTTCGGACGCCCAGAAGACCGCCGTCTTAGAGCGTCGGGAAGCCGAAAAGAGGAGAACCCCAAAATTCACCAAAAACCAAAGAAAATCAATGATTTTTGCCTCGGGGGGCCTTCTTGGGAGTGCTCTTGGAGGCCTCTTTGGGGCCGCCCTGGAGGCCTCTTGGGCCATCTTGAGGTCACGTCGGTCACTCTTGGAGCGCTCTTGTGCTGTCTTGGGGGTCTCTGGGACGTCTCCGATGACCCCCCTGATCGCCTTAAGTGTGCTGGGAAGGCTTGGCAAAACGCCTTGCGAGGCCCGGTGGCCGCTTCGAGGCCCGTCCGGAGGGCCCCAAAGCCCCAGGTCCCGGGAGTCCGGTTTTGAGGGGGGGGGGGGGGTACGGGTTTTCCCCCCGCCCGGGCTTATAAAAATATAGGAAGAGGAATATGCACATGTACATAGATATCTGTACATCTGTACATACACACTTGTATATCACATACTCTCTCTATCATATAGACGTATACGTAGCTCCTTTTCATATGCTTAAATCCGGGTATGTCGGACCCCCCGTCCCTCAGCCGGTACCTCCCGTTTCCGTGACCCCAGGGGCCCGTGGACGCCCTTGCAGAAGCTCCCTTGGGCTTTCCAGGGCTCCTGGAAGCCCCTAGTGGGCCTGGGCAGCGGCCCCAAATCAGTCAGGAGGGCGGCCGAACGGCCCCGCGAGGCCCCAGACATCCATCAGTCTCCCGATGACGACCCACAGAAGACCCCCGAGAGGCTTCCAGAACGCAGCACAACATGTACTTCCCATCTTCTTTTATCTGATTTTGGGAGTGCTCTGTTGTTCGGTCTTCCGGGCGTCTGAGACCGCCAAGGAGACCCGAACATCTTTCAATAACTACCCCAAAAGGGCTTCCCGGCCGTCCAAGAGGTCCAAGGGAGCCCCGAGACGGCCCAACAGGGCCCCAAGATGGCCCGACGAGAGCCTCATGACGGCCCAAGATGGCCCCAAGACTTCCCCCGAAGCAGTCAAAATCGTGGCCCGGTCGTTCAGGGAGACCGCGGTTGGCAGCAGGGCGGCCTGAGGAAGCCCCCAGAGGCCCCCAGAAGGAACCCAGGAGGCGTCCAGATGACCCCAAGAAGCCAGCAAAAACTTTCGTGAGGTCCCCAAGAGACTCTTCAGGGATGAGCTTCCGCAGAACTAGCTGATGAGGATGGGGACGAATTTGCAGGGTAAGACGAGAATGGGCGCGAGGAAGATGAAACATGAGGGAAGGAAGCGACGATGCCGGACAAGACAACAAGGAGTTATCGCTCAATCTTCTGTTATTCATTCCACCCTTCCACCTGCATGCCAAATTTCAAAGAACAAGGTGCGTGGCGCGAAGCGCCACTGCAGTCTCGTATGTGTATACATATGTATATATATACATACATACCTATATATATATATATATATATATATAGGAATTTCTGTTAGCCAGCGGCTAGCGTGGACCCCAAACAATAAGTCATTGCAATGTGGATGTGCGAGCTATGCAGTGCAACTGTGTAGTGTAAGCTTTGTGGTGCAAGCCACGTGATGCAAGCTATGTGGTACAATCTACGTGGTGCAATCTGCGTGGCGCAGTCTACGTGGTGCAAGCTATTTGGTATAAGCTATGTGGTGAAAGCTATGCGGTGCAATCTGCATGATGCAAGCTATGAGGTGTATGTTAGGAGGTGCAAGCTATGTGGTGCAATTGATTTTTACCCATGATGTGACACATCTCATGCTCTTGCAAACATCCAACCCTCCCACCTGCAACTTGGTCGCAAGACCTCTTAAGACAAGACCGTGACGGTGGGTACCAGATGGTACTTGGCCACGACACCGACGCCGACGATGACAGCGACGACGACGACGGCGCCGCGGACACCGACGACGACGACACCGACGACGTCTCCAACGACTTCGACGACGACAGCGACCACGACGACGACACCGACGACGACGACGACGCCGACGACGACGACGATGACAACGACGACGACGACGCCGACGACGACGACGCCGACGACGACGACGACGAAGACAACGACGACGACGACGACAACGGCGTCGCCAACGAAGACGACGACGAGGGAGGAGGGAAGACGACGACGGCGACAACGACGACAACGACGACAACGACGAGGGAGGAGGGAGGACGGCGACGACACGAACGACGAAGAAGGAGGAAGGACAGTGGCGCCGACGACGACAACGACGAGGGAGGAAGGAAAACGACGACGACGACAACGACGACGACGACGACGACGACGGCGACGAAATAGGAGGAACGACGACGAGACGCCGACGACGGACGACGACGACGACGAGGGAGGAGGAGGAAGGACGACCACGGCGACAACGACGACGGAACGACCACGACGCCAACGAGGACGACGACGACGAACACGAGGAAAGACAGAGGACGACGTAGGCGACGACGACGACGCGGGAGGAGGGAGGACCGCGACGACGACGACGACGACGACGACGACGCAAGAGCGCGCGCGCACGCTTTTGTTGAACATCCGTGTTGCGAAACCTTGTGTTTTGGTATGTTTTTTGGACACACGATTTTGAAATCCTTCCGAAACCGATGGGTTTTGAAGGATTTCGGCGTACGCGCGCGACGACGCGCGCGTCTGCACTTCGTGCTGTTTTTTGCAGAGGATTCTCGCGACGGCACACGCGCAAGGGCGTCGACATGCTCGCGCGCGAAGCCCGTTTAATAGCATTTTGTGTAAATCTTGAAAAAACCTATGGTTTTCGTAAGATTTCGCAAGAGCTCGCGCGGAAGCTCTTTTAGCAAATCGATGTTGCGAAACCCTGTGTTTTTGTATGTGTTTTGGAAACTCGATTGCGGAATCCTTCTGGCACCGAAGGTTTTTGAAGAATTTCGGCATGCGCGCGCGACGACGCGCGCGTGTGCACTTCGTCCCATTTTTTGCAAGGGATTCGTGGAAAAATGTTATATTGGAACAACGAATGTCACCACATAGTGTTTTTTACAAGGAAACCTCAGGGGGGGGTACCGGCCCCCCGGGGATAGTGTAAATTCATACTTAGGATGGTCATGTGGTCATAATCATATATGATTTACGTACC